CGACAATGGACCATTTCAGAGCTAGAAATTCTAGCTTATGAGCTGGATATCTGGTCTCGCTTGGTGTCAATCCCCTACTAGCATAGGCAATGACGTGCATTTTACCATCCTGCTCCTGATAAAGAGCGGCACCCAGGCCCGTGGTACTAGCGTCAGTGTGCAGAACATATTGGAGCTTTGGATCTGCAAACCCCAATACAGGGGATGATGTTAACTTCTCCTTAATCCATTCAAAGGCTGACTGACAAACAGGTGTCCATCTGCCTGCAAAGGGTTCTCGAGGATTGAGATATTTGGAAGTGCCTGTTTGTTTCTGGCCTTTTCTGAGAGGTGGATAGCCACATGTGAGATCATTTAAGGGCCGGACTATCTTTGAATAATCCTTAACAAATCGGCGATAATAGCCTGTGAACCCTAAAAATGACTTCAGCTGTTTCAAGTTTTGTGGCACTGGCCAGGTCCTGATAGCAGCAACCTTTTCAGGATCGGTCTGCACATCATTTTTGGAGACAATATGGCCCAAATATTTAACCGATGTCTGGAAAAAGCAACATTTTTTCGGGGACAACTTTAAGCCATATTCACGAAGACGGTCCAAAACATGCTTTAGCCTCTGTTCATGTTGCTCGAGGGAGTCTGAGAAAACAATCAAATCGTCTAGGAAGACGAGTACCTCCTTGAGATTAATGTCTCCCATACACCTCTCCATTAACCTCTGAAAGGTGCTGGGAGCATTTGTGATGCCTTGGGGCATTCGATTGAACTCATAAAACCCCAGTGGGCATACGAAGGCTGTTTTGGCTTTATCCTCCTCCTCCATCTCTATCTGGTAATAACCTGACTTCAAGTCCATGACAGAGAACCAGTTTGAACCAGATAGGGCGGAGAAGGTCTCTTCGAGGTTTGGCAACGCGTAAGCATCTTTTACCGTTTGCACATTAAGCTTACGGTAATCCACACAGAGGCGTACCTCACCATTCTTTTTCTTGACTACAACGATGGGGAATGAGAAGGGAGATTCTGACTGTCTTATTACCCCAGCGTCGAGAAGCATTTTAAGGTGTTTCCTGACTGCTTCGTAGTCATTTGGATGAATGGGCCGCGATCTCTGTTTTATAGGCGTTTCGTCTTTAAGCTTGATCTTATGCTTAACTTTAGTGGCATGGCCAAAGTCGAGATCGTGGCATGCAAAAACGTCACGGTAGGCACTAAGACTCTGCGTGACCCGACTTTTCCATTCCTCGGGCAGAGGTGAATCGCCAAAATCAAAGGTCAACTGGTCACTGGGTAATGAACATGAGTCTGCAGACAGGCTGCAACAGCCTGCAGTGTTTGCACTCGACGTGGTTTGAGTTTCAAGGACTTGGTCTGCAATGTGTAGTTCAGCAAGAACGCAGTTGCCAGGAAGGATGATGTCATGATCGGTTTCGTTTCTGATCCAAATAGGATGCTTGTAAGGACTTTGACGTGGTACTGTGATAAGGCAGCAATCTACAAAGATTCCTCCCGGAAGGGCTGAGGAAGTTGGCTGCTCTACAACTGCCCATCTGTCAGTGGGTGGTGAATTTAGGTGGGCGTAACTCTCTAGGCAAACCCTTTCATGAGCTGGTATTACGTAAGGTGCGTTGCCCCTCAGTGTCATTAGTCCAAGCTTTCCTGAGCTTTTTGTTTCATGTCTACGTTCAAGGATTTTTAAAATCTGACTATAGCCATAGACAGCTGATGAAATGGAAGTATCCCTACAGTGTTCTTCATATAAAACATCAAGGGCATTTGTACCAATTAAAACTGGTAAGTCTGTGCTGGAACGTAAATCAGGGACAATGAGAGCTAATGTAGAAATTTGGGGCTCAGACTCAACAAACTCTTTTGGAAAACCAATTGGAACTTCTACATACCCTAGATAAGGTACAACTTGTCCATTTGCACCCTCAACATCTAAGTCACTGATTGGCTGGATGGGAAGATCAGACAAATGTCTCTGGTAAAATGAGTGTGAAATAGTCGTTACTTGCGACCCAGAGTCTAACAAAGAATTGCAACTCACTCCAGCTATGTTGACATTGGCTGTGCACTTCTTGCCAATTAAGCCCTTTGGAAATCTGGGATGACGCATACTTGCTTGTGCACAAGACTGTTTTGTTGGGGGGTTTTGAGTGGGACTTTTGTCACTTCTAGTTCCAGTTTGTCCCTCAACTGAAACAGGAACTAGTTTAAATCAGAGTCACATTGGTCTTCCCAAGCTTTTTGTTTCACCCTTAGCTCTTTCCGCTTGGCTTCAACAGTACTGGGATTCGGCTCATTGTCACAAGAGGGAGCTATATGGCCATCCTCGCCACAGTTAAAGCAGAACCATGGGCGAGGCTTTTTGTTTTTGCCAAAGCCTTCATTTTTCAACGGAGAGTTCTGTGTTTGTGCCTCCCTTAGCTGCTGTTTCTTTACAGCTTTTGGGAACTTTGCCTGAGGTTTCTTTGCAACCATGGTTTCCATTGAAGCTTTTAAGGAAGTTAACTGTTCTTGCAGCTGAGCAATTTGCTTTTGCAGTCTCTTGGCAGATGCTTGAGCTGAGCTGTCAGCAGCAGCAGCAGCAGCAGCTTGAAACTCAGTGTTTGCGTAAACATTTAAAGGATTGGACTGCACCTTTACTTTTGAAATTCCCAAGTGCTGCTTCATGCGAGTTGACTTGGCTGCCTGCTTATCTTCCTCTGTTCGCAAGAGTAAAAGCAGCTCAGAAAAGGAGGGTGGACTGGATTTCTTTTGCTCTAGATGGAGGCTAGCGATTAGGTTATCATCCCAGCATCCCCTACAGAACTGCTTCAAAAGCTGCCGATCGAAATCACTAACTGGGACTCCTCCCCCTTTTACAACTTTGTCAAGGGTAGTCTGCAGCCTGTGCACATAGGCTGAAGGTTTTTCGCCAGCATTTTGGTTTGTACTCAAGAATTTTGCGAACAGCTCATCAACGTCATCTACAGTTCCATATGCAGAATCAAGCAAGCTCAAAAAGTCTTTGGGGCTGGACAAGGGACCCAATTGTTTAACAATGTTTGCAGCTGGTGGTAAGAGGCTGTCAATAATCTTCCGTACTACTTGTCTTTCAGGAACAGAAGAATCTGCAAGATAAAACTCAACATGAATTCGCCAAGTGTCATAGTCAACCTCCGTATTAGGGCATGGAGTTTTTCCAGAAAAGGACCTGAATTTTGCAGAGCTTGGATAGGATTGGGACATGTCAGTACTTTTGACAATGTGCTCCACAATGACCCTCTGGACTTCAGGTGTGGTCAAGTGTTCAGGGTTCAAAATAGAAGCTGGTCTGTCAGTTAGGGAAGGATTGATGGTGTCAGTGGTCAGAGTGGGTGGGATAGTTTCACTGCTTGGTCGTCTCAAAACGGAACCAGGTATTAAAGGGACTGGGTCATCTACTGAAATGACCTTAGAGTGGGCTGTACCCTCCCTTTCCCCAGCAAAGGCCTGAAGTTTGTTAAGTTCACTGAGTAGCATCTTCTCATAATCTACCCCACTCACCTTAGCAATACCCTTTAAATTGGAAAGGTAAGACTCTGTAGTACTAGTCGTTAGCTTAGCACTGTAAATTGGGGATAAGA